GCTAATACTATCTTTGTGGAACCATAAGAAGAGGATGCATCACACTGCCAATGGTTCCAGAGATACCAACATCCGAGCCCACATTAAAGCCTTGCAAACTGGGATTGCTTTCCTCTCTCTTTATACCATTTTTTTAATTTCCCTTGCCATCAATATCTTCAGCATTCAATCAAAGGAGAATTATATAATTATATTTTTTAGATTATTTATTGGAATAGCTTTTTCTTCATGTCACTCCTTTATCTTGATTTTGGGAAACAGTAAGCTGAGAAAAGTTTCCCTTTCTGTGATGTTGTGGTTGAGGTGTTGGCCCAAAGATGCAGAGTGCTCCATTCTATATTGAGTTCCTGGATCATCATGCATGTTCTAAAGGAAAGTAAATTCCTAAGAAATTCTTTCATGTTTACCTTTCTTTACCTGATAATCTTTTGTCTACAACGTGATCACATTTATAAAAATACATTTGGAATCAGCATTACACAGGCAAGTTACAGTCTTAGTGCATTTCCAAAAAAAAAAAAAAATGACACACAGAAAAGCACGTCAATGTAACCCACTTCAAAATGAGATCTTTATAAAATATATTATTAATTTTGTCACTATTATAATAATATAAATTGAGGTTCCCCCCCAAAAGCGCAGCTATATCCATATTCTACAAAAGCTGATTTATTTGTTAGAATTTTTGTTTATAATCAGTTGGAGTCTAACAGATCCAGAGTAAAGTTATGCTATTTCTCTGTGTCTGATCTAACATCCTCAAGCCTAACAAGTAAAGTCTCTAGAATATATTCTTAGAAGAACAAAAGCTTTTCCAAGCCAAAGGTAAAAATTTGCCATCAAGTAGCACCTAAAACCTACCTAGACTGTTTCCTCATTAACACTAGCTGGTCTACCTGTAGTCTCTACCAATAATATGATTTATATCTTTCTTTTAATCTGTGATCATTAAAAGCTTCTGCACTACCTCAGTGTTGGAACATACTATGTAAAAATCCAGAAGCCATGTTCCTTGGCTGCAATAATCATATTTGGCTTAATAAACAACTACTTATGCCATATGTGGGTATAGTCATTGTTTCATCCATAATAGTTTTTCGAGATTTTAAATTAACACTCTTAGGAAAGACATATTTTTTATGTGAGGCACAGCTATTAAAATACAAATTTATAATTTTAGATAAACTAAAAGCAACTTAATGAAGATGTACCTAATGTTGGTCATTAAAAATGAAGACTCAATTATGACTTAGAAAGCAGAGATCCTAATACATCTACTGGATATTTTAGGAAGCTTAGACACTAATAAATTTTCATATGACCTTTTCTTAAAATGTGTTTAATGTTAGTTAATTCTCCTTGTATTCCCTTTAGTACCCTTCCCCATCCCCATTTAACCCTTCTTGTAGCACCATTACCCTTCAATCTTTTATACAAGTGCATTCTGAGTCTCCTCCATTAGAACCCCACCATCATAGTTGTTTGCTAATTTTTGAAACCTTAAAATCTGGGTAGGAGTTCTCTGAAAGAAAAACTGTAAAATGTCTCTGGCAAATTAATTTATGTACAGAGTAACTAGTGCTCGCATATGTATGCCTGTGGTATTTTTCTTTTGAAGCAGCTGAAGTTGCAATGTTTTAAAAAAGCTTACTTAGCGGTCTTTGAAGATAATAGCCTGTGCAATCAGCCATTAGCAGAGTGAGATTTTCCTCAAATTTACAGGAAACATCAGGAGGAAAACCATGCGTAGAGCCACATAAAATCCATTAAAAAAATGTAAGAGACTATGCAATTTGAGTACATAGTTTCGGTGATAATTTTTCAGACAGTCAAAGTTTAATTTGTGTATCAGAGTTATTTTGTTTGTCATTTTGATGACCTAGAAGTAAATGTCTTGTCAAACTATTACATCTACCTTATGTTTTAAACTTACTCTCTTGTCTTTTTATAGACAAAACTTGATATCATCTACACATAAGTACAATGTTATATCTTCCTGCCAATTATTTGAGTTATTGGTGTTGATTTATAGCTTTGGGATAAAGTTTATAAAATCATTTATACAGCAAATTCTTTTTGTGTTTTCTGATAAAATATGCTAAAAGTATCTAGTATGTACTGTTATTTCTTCTGTTAAATTAAAATAATGATACAAGCAAATATGTCATATTATGTACTGTGTTTTCCTGTGCCTCATGTGATTCTCACATACATACATGGAGAAAAGAGACTGCTTCCTGACTGTGGACATGTGACTTCTTCAAGCTGTTGCTGTCCTGATTTCTCTGCCATTGAACTGTAAGCCAAAATAAGCCTGTTTTCTGTAACTTCTTTTTTCAGTGTATTTTTTTTTAATTTATTTTCAAGACAGGGTTCTCCATAGCTTTTTGGTTCCTGTCCTGGAACTAGCTCTTGTAGACCAGGCTGGCCTCGAACTCACAGTGTGTTTTTATCACAGAAATGAACCAAGAAAAAATAAAAATTTTGACAACAACAATGAAAGTAACCCATTATTATGGATTCTACACTCTATATTCAGTTTAAAACTTCATACCATATTTCCATTTGCATACATTTCATTGAAACTGAAGTCATCACAGGCATACTGAAACTTAAAACGCATAAGTCAGAAATCAACTATTGAAAGTATGGAGTAAATAGTATCAAATTATACTCCATAAAACAAAGGAGTCATTCTTCCAAGGGGGAGGAGTATCATTTGGAATTCTTGGCTAAAATCATGACCCCAAACTGAATCAGTTAATATAATTATCAAAAATAAGTGCTATCTTTCACTCCCTCCAAATCATTGTAAATGTTGTTAAGGGTCTTATTTCAAGTTTTCTCTCATAGGCTGAACTGTTTGAACTCCATGCAAAACAATGCAAACGAAAGCCCAACAAACAAAACATGCAGTTGAGTCTCTTTCACATTCTGATTGAGTTAGAGAGAAGGACATGCAATTGAAATTGTCAGGAGAAGGCTCCTAGTCCAATAGAGACTTAAAGATAATAGGGCTTAAATCATAATGGCATGTGCTTTGAGGAAGACCACATAAGCTCAGAGGAAGTGCTTCCTGATCAGACAACCTGACATCAAGCCAGTGAGAGAGCCAGACAAACCAGAAAAGCCAACACGCCAGAAAACCACCCTGTGGGACACTGACCTTGGATTTCTAACCTTCAGAACCGTGAGAAAAATAATTTCTATTGTTTGAGCCCTTTGGTATGTTGTTATAGTTTCCCAACACATTAATATGAAGACAGAAATCTAAAAGGTAAAGAGTAATGTCAAATACACAAACCCTGTTACTAATAAGAAAAAATATTTACATGGTACCTATGGGATTTGATAGTTTCATAAAGGTCTGTGAACATGCTGAGGCTTGTGTTTTAGGTGAGAGGAGACAAGAATGCAATTCAGATGTGATTAGTAGGAGAATTGTCAGATATACTAGCAAGTATGTGCTACTTACAGAATATATAAGAATAGTAAACTCTTTAAGAGAGAGCTGTGGTACATCTCTAAGTTGGTCCATCAATCTAAGATGAAGCAGACAAGGATAAGTGCTGATAACAGGAGAAGTCATAAGCAGGGCCTTTGGATAGGACTCATGGCTTTGACATTTCCCTTTAAGGTTCACATCAGAAATCAACTTTCCAATGCACCTTTTCAATTCTTTCATTTTAAGAATACAATATATCTTTGAACACTGTTTTATAAGCCTACTCCAGGCTCCAGTGAATCGGACTTTGTCAAGAACATCAGTGAATCTCTGCTGCCAGCTCATAGTCATATTACCTGTGTTCACCATACAAACAATATGCCATGAATTGTAAATACCTCAAATGAGTAGAATACAAACTTTACAGATATTCATTTGTCAAATATGTTTTAATTTATTCTAGTTCTGCAGGAAAATTGAAACAATTTAAGGCTGGACTACAACAGTAACATTCCCCATGACTTAGTGTCAAGGCTACATTGTCTTTTATGCTCCTATGGTACATTTTATTCTAGGGTAGGAGATAGAGGTTGAAACATGTCCCCTCAGTTATGCCAAGAACATACAGTATGTCAAAATAAAATGGATGTGCCTGTGTCTCCATCTTAGTGTCTCACTGTTTTATATGACCTTAATAAATGAGCTGCTTCATTCACCTCAGTGACTTCTTCAGGGAGCTACAACAGATTTCTACTACTTTCCATGTACAAAGGACTCATTACCCAAAGTTTAGAAAATATTCACATCTATCACTATATAGTTTAATATGGAAGCACACTGAAACAATTTCTTATGAATTGTAATAAAGTCGGAGCTCAATGTATGATAAATGTTGAATAAATTAAAAAAATATATCAATGAAGTGAAAGATTAATATTTAGATCTCAAATAAGTGTATGTTTATATATTAATATGTACAGATGTTTTCTATTGTGAATTATAAAGTTTTATTTGTAATATTATGTCCTTAAGCAATAATGTTCTACAAGAAGTTATTAGTAGGTAATAATTTGTAGAAGAACTTTGATGATAAGCCCCTAGAGTCTTAATCTGAACTAATGAAAATATCTTCAATATTTAAGATCTCTTGTTTCCTGAGATTCTTGTTACATTCTTCCCATCTTAGAACGTTTTAATTATTTCTTTACATAACTCATAGATTTGATTATTTCTTGTCCACAGAAAGAAAAAAATAGAAAACCAATGCAAATCAACATGTCTTTATTTATATTTCAGTATCTGAGATGACAGTATTTCCTTCATCATCCGTCTACCACAGGACACCCAGAATCTGGATATAACTCAGTGGAACCATGTAAAAAGGCAAACTTTCATAAATACAACTATGATTACCTATATTGGTAAATCTTCATTATTTTTTTATTTGTTATTTTCTTAGGAAAGATGTTTTGAATTTCTTTAAAAACATTTAAAATGAATACATTAACAAATATTCTTCAGTGACTACAGAAATCAGGATATTCTCCTATGGACAATGGATATTGCCATACAGAGCATATGTGCAGCTACGATCATTGCGGAATTCATAATTGGGAGTGCTGCAAATGGACTCATAGTGCTGGTGAACATCACAGACTGGGTCAAGAGGAGGAAGATCTCTTCAGTGGATCAGATCATCACTGCTTTGGCAATCTCCAGAATAAATATGCTGTGGTTTACATTTATTATTACACTAATATCTTCACTCTATCCAGATTTAGAAATGACTGTGAAAATGGTAAGAATAAAAAATAACATCTGGGTTATTGCAAATCATTTTAGTATCTGGCTGGCTACCACCCTCAGCATATTATATTTTCTCAAAATAGCCAATTTTTCTAACTATATTTTTCTTTACCTAAAGTGGAGGTTTAAAAAGGTGGTTTCTGTGACATTGCTGCTGTCTCTGCTCTTTTTGTTTGTAAATATTTTAGCAATGAACATACATATTGATGATTGGACAGAAAAATGCAAAAGAAATCCATCTTACAATTCCACATCAAAGTATTACACACAATTTTACAGACTTATATATTTAATTAACACAATGTTCACATTCATTCCATTCACTGTGTCTCTGATCATTTTTACCCTGCTCATCTTCTCCCTGTGGACACATCTGAAGAACATGCAGCACAACATCAAAGACACCAGAGACCCCAGCACCATGGCCCACATAAATGCCCTGCAAATGATGGTCACCTTTCTCCTTTTCTATGTAGTTTTCTTTATGTCTCTTGCCACACAAGCTTGGGTCTCTCAGTTTCTAGAGAAAAAAAATTTGCTTTTTGCTGCACTTATAATTACTTTTCCTTCAGTCCACTCATGTGTTCTGATTCTGAGAAATAGCAAACTGAGGCAGGCTTCTCTCTTGGTGGTGTGGTGGCTTAGGTGCAGGTCCAAATATGTATAACCCTTTGTCCCCTGGTACACTCTGTTGATGGTTTTTAATAATAAAGAAAGAAATTGCTTTGTTAAAGATTCTTGTTATTAGCTACTTATATTTTCAAGTTTTGTTTTGAACTTATAGAAGCATTTTAGAACAAAAGACTGATCATTCTTTACAATTCTACATTTTACCAAAATAGAGCCTTGCTACAATCATATCAGGAGAAAAAAATGAAAAGAGTAGATAGAAATATGGAAAGCTGTTATAATTCATTGTATTTAAATATTTAGGAGAAAAAATAATAGGTTCTAATAAATTAAATACATTTTTTCCATTGTGAATGATAGATTCCTATAATGATATTTTATTTTCTAAACAAAACTAGAAACTGACTTTATGTAAATTAAAGGCCTGTTTCTCTTATAAAGTGATATTTATGATAATACCTTCCTAGTACATTTTCTGTATGAATATATTTTATATTATCAGGTTCCAAATGCAGAGACTGAACAAGTAACAACGTTGAAGTCCATGAATGTCTTATCTTAGGACTTCTAACATAAAGTCAGTTCCATGTATCTAAGGAATGTATTTGAGAAAGTAAGGGAGAACACATATAAAGTTCTTTCCACTACTGCCTATCCATAGCACTCAGAAGTACCCTGACCTCTGATACTACCTGGTTTCATGAAAATGTCTTATGTCTTTTTATTGGGCTCAGTGCTTAGAAGGATCACAGCCGTGGGACAAGGGTCTTTTATCCTGTCACTTACATTGTACTATTTTAATAAAATGCTGTTTGGCTAGTAGCCAGGCGGAAAGTGTAGGCAGAATAATCAGGCAGGCAGGAAGTTTAAGTAGGGCGAGGAGAGCAGAAGAATTTGGGGAAGATGAAAAGCTGAGCCTGCAGCTGCAACTCAGATGCAGAGGAAACAAGATGAGAATGCCTTGCTGAAAAAAGGTACCAAGCCATGTTGCCAATGCAGACAAGAATTATAGGCTAATGTAAGTTATAAGAGTTAATAAGAAGCCTGAACTAATAGGCCAGCCAGATTAAGATTAATGTAGACCTCTGTGTGCTTGTTTGGGATTAAATGGCTGTGGTACTGGGCAGGACATAAACCTCTGTCACCAAAATGGTACACAATGTGGACAACTGCATTTACATAAAACTTGAGAAAGCATGGGAAGTAATTCTAGACCAAAAAAAAGAGGAGAGTTAAGCATGGCTTCTTGGAGCAGCATTTTCTCAGGTGGGTTCGGTTTGCTAGAGGCAAGTGCATCTCATTTAACATAGGCTTCCTAACTCAGCTTTAGCTGCAAAAACCTTGCAGATATTTTAAGAAGACCCACCAGGAAACATTTAAATAGAATTTATGGATAGCCATCAGCTTACTTCTTGGTGGTGGTAGGGACTCTGAAATTCCATAGAGCTGTGGCAATAAAGAAGGCTCCAGCCAGTACTTCTGCCATAAGGCTAGACTCTCAGAAAGCTAAGGAATGGGATGGATCCAGCCATCAAAGCCATAGATTTAATCCTAGCCATATCACTTAGCAAATTAAAGATTCACGAGGTCAGAAAAAGAGAGACATACAGTAAAGACAGATTCAAAGATGAAGAAAACCTCTAAATGGTTAACAGTGTGTTTAAAAATATATGCAGGCTTGGGAGAAAAATAAAGGATAAAGTCCTTAAAATGAAAAAAAAAAAAAAAGATAGAGAGTAGTTGGGTGTAGTGGCACAAACTTTTAATACCAACACTTGGGAGGTGGCCAGATCTTTGTTAGTTCAAGGATAACATGGTTTACAGTGTGAGTGCCAGGACAGCCAAAGATATACAGAGCAACCTAGTCTCAAAAAGCCAACAATTAAAAGTAAAAAAAGAAATAAAATTTAAAGAGGAGCCATATAAAGAGGGAGAACATACAGAGAATCTGGATACTGTGTGTTATTACATTCTCTTTTAATTGTTTGAATGCTGAGGTATGAACAACAGCTGCTAAAGATATTTGGTTATATCTGGATTAATCCAACATACATATTTTGAAAATGCCTTGACTGCAAAATTTAAGTCAAAAGATATGTTACTTTGGAGAAGAGGTTTTGTTTTTGTTTCCACAGGAAATGAGAGGCTGTGGATTCATTCTGGGTTCAGAAAAATAAGGTTTGACCAAGGAAGATCCTCAGAAGAATTTCCACTAGGAATGAATGGCACAGATCATCCAACATTTCAGAGAACCTCTATTGGAGTTTCCTCTGAGTTCTACATCCAGAACAGTTTCAAGACTGCTGGCTGAGATGATCAAGCCTCACAGAATATTCCAGTCAGGACTTGACCATAATTCAAAGATTTCTTTTTCTGTCCCCATAAGATTATTAGAGCTCCTAATCAGCAGGAAGTATCCTGTGAAACTATGCCTACATTCCCAAATAGTGGATTATGGATTTTTTCTTTGCTTGGAGTGTTGGTTAGAAGTTGTTGTGGATAATAGTCAGGAAGAAAGCTAAACAAAGGAGATTAGATTCAGAGTTCTTGTTTTGAAAAAAAAAGGTGGCAAAGTGTTATGGGACAATGGTCTTTTATGTTGTTACTTATATTCTATTGTTTTAATAAAATGTTGATTGCCCAGTTGCCAGGCAGAAAGTATAGGTGGGGCAACCAGGTAGTAAGTGGAGGCAGGGCAACCAGAACAGGAGAATTCTGGGAAGAGAAAAGGACAGTCTGCAATCATCACCTGGATTCAGAGGATGCAAGAGGAGAACACCTCACTGATAAAGGTAGCAAGCCACATGGCTAACACAGACAAAAATCATGGGCTAATTTAAGAGGTAAGAAAGAGTTAATGAGAAGCCTGAGCTGATAGGTCAGCAAGTTTATGATTAATGTAGACCTCTGTGTGTTTCTTTTTGGACTGAACAGCTGCAAGAGACAGAAATCTCTATCAACAGATCCTGTCATTAGCTTTGCCTTTGCTGTCAGTATTTTTTCCTGATGCCCAGTGTCCACTGCTGAAGGAAAAAGAGTTGTCTGACATTAATTCAATAGTTGTTTGGCCTCTCTTTCCCTATGGCTAAAGTCAAATATGCATAGTGTTGGCATTACCAAAGCAGACTCATAACAGTTATTAAAAGAATAAATTTTGTTAGAAATAATTTCCTAGAAATAATTCACATGACAGCTTAGAATGTAGAAATGGGAATCTTGGTCTCAGATCTTCCTCACCAGAAACAGGGTTTAATGTGTTTATAAAATGAAGAAGCATTTGTCAGAGCCCGTTTGGGTCCAACACAGATTCTCTAACTCGACTGGAACGGAGTCGTGAGGAATAATCAGACACAACTTACACGGTCATCATGGAAAAGGTCAGAATGTTCCTTTATTGTCCAAACATCTTATATACTCATCCCAAATGAGCGGGAACACACAAAGGCTGTTGCCTAGGCAACCAGGTGCCTGGGCTTTAGTCACATCTGCATCTAGCAGTCAGGTAGGTCCTGAATTAGCATCTCTATAAGATAACCTTCAAATTGCATAAGGAAAGAAACCCTAAACATCCTGACCAGTTTTAGTTAACACCTCTTCTCAGGTAATTCACACTTTAACAAAGAAAGCTAGGAGCAAGGCATCCTGGCTTTTGTTAAGGGCAGACAGCTTGTCTGAGCTATGTATTCAGCTCAAACCGGGGCAATGGCTTTTGTGGCATATCGGAATATGTGCCCACAAGCACTCATCTATAAGGTGAGGAAAGAAAATAAGAAACAGGATGGATGAATAGCTTTTCCTATCATATGTTATCAAGCTTCTTAGCTATTCATTGGATATACGTTCAGAAAGCCAGTAATATTTGCATAATTTGTAGGTGGAACTTGAAGCCTGTGATGTGAAAAATCACACTGGATACTTGAAAAGCCCCGAGTGAGGGGGTGATATTTTAAACTAATAGATATGGGCATGGCTAACTCAAAATTCCTTAAAAACAATGTAAATACTTTATCCATTAGTTACCATGCATTGGAGTGCCACATGTAACATGATTCACACTGTTTACCTATGATATGTCTTAAGTCAACTATGAAGTAAGAGAAGAAAATACAACCATAAGGTTCTCTTTATCTGTTCTACTTCTACCCTCTACAAATATCTCCAGTGGTATATGTAACAACATCTATAGATCCCTGTATTAACAACTACATTTTTTCCCATCTTTGGATAACGTAATAAAGGTGATACATTCGTATCATAAAATGTAGTATGTTTTCTTGTTCCAAACTTTTATGAGGCCCAATGTACACTCTGGCATGTGAGTGATAGGAAACAATGCTGTAGTATGGAATTCTAAGGCAGACAAAATAGAAGGATAATCCAGTTCTCTGAAGGTGTTGACAAACAAAGCAGGCAATGTTAATGCCATCTGGAGACCTATAAGAGATTGGACTCAGTATTGTTTGCCCTCTGTGTGACTTGGGTGTATTCATGCTCTGTACTTATGGTGTATTATTAAGAGCATGTGGCTTTTATAGCATCACAGAAGTATCCTACACATAATTTCATTCTCTCTTCTTGCTATTTTTTTCCTTTTCTCAGAAATAGGCTACTCTGTTGTTGAAGAGGGTGTGGACCTACACTAACACAGCAGGGGTGTCTATAGTCTCCCCTGAGGGTCATGCCAGAAGCATGCACAGTGTCCTTATCATTGAATCCAGTTCATTTTAGCCTAAAGGGGAAGGGTTGATTCACATAAGAGGTAACTACAGAGACATGGAAGACATTAATTCCATACACTTCTTGCTAGAGGTAGAGAATGGGAGCATTTATAAACCAAACAAGAATGGTAGTTTAGGGCATCAGTTTGCCAGATTTTACTCAAGCCACAGAATATCTCCTTTCCTTATTTTTCATATTCAACCCCATGTTGTCTATTCAACAAACATTTTTTTTGTCTTAATCTTGAGTTCTAGTAACTAAGAATTGAGGGATAATCTAGAGTGTAGTCTCACTATTGTCTACTTCTTGACTCACTCA